ATATATAAATAATAAGTATAATTCATAGTATAATGAATTAATAGTGTTCAGTAGTACTGGACAGTTGTCAGTGTGTTTCTTTCTGCTATGATTAAAATTGCTAGATGAAAAGCCCCAGAATAGGGATTGTTTACTTGTGTAGAAAGGGTTTTTCTGATGTGAACATATTGAGATTTTATTCTTTGGAACTTTGAAATGCCATTTTCAGATACTCCAACGTGTTGGGAGAAGGCCAGTTATTGAATAATTACAACAAAAATTTGTGTGACTGTTAAATGTGGTTAATTATCTATTTTTCCTGCACAGGAGACTGGCAAAAGTTAAGTAAAGGTACACAAAATGCTATTGAAGAAGAAATGCTATCAGGATGAAAAGACCCATATGGTAGCAGACATTAATAATAAAAGGAAATTTAACATTTGTCTAAAACATATTGATAAGATAAAAACACTGTGTATGAATCTACAAAGCTAAATAAACTTTCTAAGGGAGGAGAGAGGGGTTCTTAGAAGTGTCCTGGAGTTGAGAGAGTGAGGCCGTTGGCTCCACAGACCCAGTTTTAGTTTCAGGTCCATACTGGTTGTGTGACAGCAGCCAAGTTACTTACTTTGATCTTTACTTTTTTCATCTAAAAAATGGGAATCATAATACCTCAAAAGTTTTGTTACATACATTTAAAAATATATGTAAAATGCCTAGCATGCTGCTGATACTCAACAATTCAGAGCTATTATTGTTAGTAAGAAAATAACAATAATAATAATAATGTGCTAATGGATAAATACCTTTTTATGAAAGCACAATTTTATTGCTCTCTGTAGTTATTTGATGTTTTTATAGCTGTAGTTTTAAAATTACGCAGCACAACACTTGAAAGTCACTGTGATCTTTGTAGAATAACATAAAATACTGCTATGCTAATTTTATTTTCCAAAACATGAAAACATTTTTTCTTGTAGAAAATAGAACTAAATTGTGTGTATGGGATAGAAGAGAGATGCAGTTAAAAATACATGCACCCAGGGGCTGGCCTGGTGGCGCAAGCGGTTAAGTGCACGCGCTCCGCTGCGGGGGCTCAGGGTTCGCCGGTTCGGATCCCGGGCACACACTGATGCACCACTTGTCAAGCCATGCTGTGGCGGCGTCCCATATAAAGTGGAGGAAGATGGGCATAGATGTTAGCCCAGGGCCAGTCTTCCTCAGCAAAAAGAGGAGGATTGGCAGATCTTAGCTCAGAGCCACTCTTCCTCACACACACAAAAAAAATGCACCCACAAACTAAAGCTAGTGCTCAAAGTAAGCATAATTATGATCAGTTGTTTTAAATGTTTTTCTTCAATAGTATTTTGCTACTTTCATTTTTTTGTAGTCTGCTAACACTCACAGAAAATCAGTAATTGGTGCCCACTTTTATGAAAAATTTGGGTGCAAATGTTTAGAAACTACCACCCATTAACATTTTTTCCTTCTACAAATTGAGGAAACATTGAGGTTATTTCACTTCAGTGGAAGAACAACTCTCATAAGCTCACTAGAGGATCAGTTCAGGGATAGTGTGATAATACTGTTGCATTAATTGGCTGCTCATTAAAATAATACTCGGTATTATTTTCTTCTGTTATTAAAATCACTTCTGTTAAAGTCTCCAAACTCTGACATTTTAATTTTTAACACTAGACTTAGCACATGAAGACCCAGATTTGAGGTCAGTCTCTGTCACTTACTAAGCTCTTTGACAATGAACAAGTCAAAAACTGTAAGTTTTTGTTGCTTCATCTTTCTTTTTCCTCTGACCTTGGTCCTGGAACTTCTAAGTAATCTTTAGAATGTTCCCTTGTGTAAATTGTACATTAAGTTTTACCTGCCCTTTTAGGTGTATGTTTTATTTGGAAGTCAAACTACTAGTCATTTTCTCCAAAACTGGGGTAGAGAAAGAATAATAATCACACAGAAGAATATTTTAACATTATGCATTATTTAGGGGTGTGACACATTCACAGTTACCATTTGAATTTGAATTTTAGTTTCACTTAGAATTTAGCTTTCCTACTGTGCAATCTGAAGCTATAGAAACTGAATCGACAAGCTCTATGAGTGCCCTCCTCTTTGCATTAATTCATATTTAACCGCCTTTGAAACTTTTAAAATTTGTTTTCTCACTTTATCAAAAAGGAGTCTATAAACCTAGGTAAGGTAGATAGTAGCAATTGCCTGTTCTTCTCAATGCTGCTGTAAGCAAGAGAGTAGCCTCAAGTCTATCGTCAGTGTGTGTATTAGAATTGATTCTTAAATCTGGAGAAAGCCATGTATATATAAAGCATAATGGTAAGGATAGAGTGCCCAGACTTAGAAAACTTGTTAATTCTCACATTAATGGATGTTTAATGTAATAGACGATCATGGTTGCAGTTTCATATTAATTCATGAAAGGAAAATTATTTGCTGTTTATTCTCTTTCTACAGTGACCTAGTAGTTCATTAAAATTTTTAAAAAATATAAATTGTTAGTTATGGACTTTGGATTGAGAGGAGCCTTTTTATTGTTTTAACATTTCATTTTTGAAGAAGAAAAGAGGTTTTTTATTTAAAACAAAATTCTTTTCAACTTTTGCTGGGTCATTTTGTTGTTTTGAATTTAAATATTGTACATATTTATTTTTCTTTTCGTAAAAAATGTTAGTGTTGCATTTACTGTCTATTTTATAATTGGAAAACTAATGTGGAAATTATAAAGCAATTTAATAAAATAACATGCTTTATAAGAATGATCTTCCATTGTGTTTTGTTTGGAAAAATATTGCCACTTTTCTAAGAACCCCAAAGATGAGGATTTCATATCCTTTATAAATTCTGCTTTTAGACAGAGGAAAAGGGAACTAGTCATTATTGTGTTTTTTCCCTTCCTTTCGTTCTAATAGCCACATTTTATACCAGTCATATGTCAGACATTGTGCTAAGCATTTATATATTTTATATAATTCTTATACCAATTTTATGAAATGTGTGCTCCTATTATCTCCATGTTCAGATGAGAAAATGAGAGTTAGAGGATATAAATAAGTTGCCCCAAACTGTGCTGCTAGTGAGTCAGTCAAACTGGGATTTGATTCCAGATGTTTGACACGTACGTAATGATTATCAATGCTTAAACCAATCCCATAATGGGTACTCAGTAAATATTTATTGAAAAATGAATGCCACTTACCAGTTGTCTTTAAAAAAAAAAAAAAGCATTATGAATGTATAGTCTGATTTACACCTAGTAGACAGTTTAAATGTTGCTAATTTTCCTCCTCTTCCTGTAGGAGAAAAGACTGAAAGAAAGGGAAGCCAGAAGAGAGGCCATCAAGAGACAAGCAAAGGTAAGGGTTTATATCCTAATGAGAAAATGTTTGTAACACTGAATGGAATTTAAATACTTTTCCATATGCATTTTATATTTATTTAGACATCTGACATTCATGGGTTAAGTCCATGCCTGTCATTTACTTTCTCATATTCATTCGTTTCCTCTGTGATGCAAGATGAAAAAATGCATAAGGTAATTTGTTTACTGGCCTTTGCCCTACTGCCCCCGCCACCTTTTTCCATTATATTTTGTGCCTATTAAATATAGGAGACGTTGACTGTTGGCCAGGCCTGATAGGATTCTAAACTATATCATCTTTAGACTAAGTAGACAGCCCTTGTGAACCCAACTTGATAATAGATAATTCTGAAAGCACTGGTTGCTTCAGTTCAACTTCTAGAATCTAGGGGAAAGCACTCTATATCTCCCACCTCCACTATATTCTGTAAAAAAAAATTTTCAGCCAGTATATATGTACCGTTTTCCTGAGATATGTACAATAGCAAACACCATGCATGTGCAGCTGTAATTTTTGTCTGGTTTGTTTGACACCGAGAAAGGGTCAGCTTCTGCATTCTGAGGACGTTTAATGGAAATGATTTCCTAGAACCAGGGCCCAGTAACATATGTCATTTCTCATGCTGTATCTCATTGTGCTATGCCTGGCTAGCCATGATTTCTTCTTGGTAGTTAGCAAAGATCCAACTCCCTTGAGTAAGCCCGTAATGTTCTTTTTTATTTTTTTCTGTGCTGGCCATAGCACTTAGAGAGCAAGTCAGAGATGATAACTCATGCTGTAGTTCTGAAGTGGGAAGCAATTACTCTACAGTGTAAGATGAAAAGACTGCTTATATTCAGTATTAAATATTACTCTGTCTTCAAAGGTGCCTGAAAATGAGAGCTACAGTGTGTGCAGCCTGACTGCTAAATCTGGTGATAGATTCTGCATATGCTTTTAAAATGCAGACGTGAACTGTCATGGCATAGAAAGTAGATCTTACGGGCTGTAGAGGGAAAAATTTAAATTTAAGAAGAAAAATCTTAAATCTAATGAAAGCATTTGATATTTATGAATATTCCTTGTTCAGCATAAAAATAAACCTATCTTATTTCACTGAGAAGCTCTCATTTCTGCATGTAAAATTGTAAAGTGGAAGATACAATCTGGAGCCAAAAGAAAGCCCTCTCACTATATTTCCTGTGTGTGCGTTCATGCGTATTTGTGTATATTACTAAATATGGTTTATTTTTTATACTTGTTGATGCTGTTTGCTTCATTTTTCAGAGTGTTTTAAGCTGTCAGAAATTATTCTCACCCTTGAGCGTGCCTCTTGTGCCTCTTCTTTTATTTCTCTATAAGTTGGTGTATGTATTTGGTTTTGATATTGTGCCAGCTGGAAATAAACAAAAACCTGTAAAGGCTGTCAGGTAGGGTTTTCCGTTGGGGCAGATCTCTGAAGTGAACTCCTCAAACCAAGCCCATCCCTCCATTCCCCACCCCCTCCTACATTTGTCGTGTATGTTTGTTTCCTGACATTTAAGAAAGGAGGAGTACTTTCTTGTCAAGAGGACATCTCATTTCTGTATAACCACTAAGGATTGTACTGGGAACAAAAGGATTGTACTGGGAACAAATAGAAGAGGCTGTGTAGCTGATGAGGCTTTGCTGCTCAGCCAGGAGCTTTGAGTAGACAGGCTGTGTTTCAGTATTGCTCTAAATAGTTGAGCTGCCTCCATTTCAGAACGTTGTCTGACTGCTCAGAGACAGCAGCCCTCTTGTAAGAGTGATGTTAGCAGAGAGATGAGTGGATGGGTTGTAGCCAGGACTCAAACATTCCTCGAGATACCAGGGACTGGCAGCAGTGACAGATTCAGGCTGACTGACGGAGCCCAAGGAATTAGCTTGGACCAACCTTTTTTGCACCCAGCTTCTTTTCAAATGAAAGTGACAGGGGATGAAGGCTCTTAGGGCTGTTCAGATGCCCCTTGGAAACAGACCCAGAAGATATTATTTGGAGGGACTCGGTAACAGGATGATGGCCGAAAGTTCTGTGATGTCTAAGAAGAAATATATGATATCAGTGAATTATCAGGTTTCCCTGTTGTCTCTGTATGTGTGCTTTAAATTATGAATATGACTTAGTTTTAGAGTAAACTTTGTCCTCTCTTTAATATGGTTTGCACATAGTCATTGCGTGACTTGAGGCGGTTGCCTTCTGAGGCCCTTTAGTCAGCTTCAATCTAGAGCATCTTTCAATCCACAAAGATATGCGAAGATAAGCAAAAGATACCTTAGTGGTGAAAGAAAGTGATATTTGCAGACTTACTATACCAGGAAGTGTAGGCTTACCCATTTATAGCTATTGTAAGAAATGAATGCATAGAAACTAAAATTGTGAGAAGAGGAGACTCACATAACTGTCTTTCTACCTCGTTTTTGTGCTTCATTCATCAAGCATGTTATATGAGGAGGAACATAGAGGACACAGTGTTTCCTTAAAAATTAGAGAAAAGTGTTTCAATGAAAATCAACGGAATTATCTTTGTTTCCCAGAAAAGAAAAGGCTTAATGATAATGTGAGTTTTCAATTTTATAAATGATGATGGTGGTTCTCTCGTCTCTGACATATTGAAAGTATTTCTAAGAAAAATTGCTTTAAAGTCTGAGTATGGTAGAATATAGTTAGAATGGACCTCTCAGGAATCTGATACAACTTATGTTAAAAGATAGGTCTAAGGATCTTCTAGAATAGGTTATGTGCAGTGTCAGGAGTAGGAGAGAAACATGAAGTTGAAACTCTTAAGAAGGTTTTCTGGGTACCCAGTATTTAGTGATTTTGGGTGATAGAGGTCTTTAGGGTATCAAAACTTTATTAAGCAGAGAAATATTTGAACTGCACAATGGACTTTTACTTTAGCTAATAGAATATTATATGTTCATGTAAGTTAGAAATTTTAAATTGAGATCTGAAAAAATAGTTGTAGCAATGATAAGTAGACCACATTGCTTTTTTGGGTTCAGGGAGGTTACATAATCCTGGAGATACAACTTCAACTCATTATCTAACTGGATTTCCTCATGTTACTTTGATGGTCACAACTCCTTACACTAACCTTTTGGTGGCTGAAAGGATTTTGCAGAAATGTAAAGAAACAGCAGTGGTGAAACTTGAGGAAATAGATCCCCAGAAATATTTCAGTGCTATGCTGCGTTTGAAAAGAAGTAGAATTTATTAAACAAAAGTATGAGATTGATAGAACTGAACACTGAGTATGGAGGAGCAAAGAGTAGGGAACAGCTCAGAGGCACTTCAATACTGGATAGTTAAGCATTGCTTTGAATATATTACAGATGCTGCTTCTAGTTGTTAATTTTAGATGTGGGGAAAATTATATTAAAATAACTAAAATGATGTCACGTGTTTTGAGGTTGAAGTTTTATGGTAGTAAATTTTAACTTGATTTTCTGGTTTTTATTGTTTTTGTTTTTTTTATTTTGGTGACCCTGGGGCACTTTATTTATTTATTTGAACAATTAGTAGTCTTAGGAAATAATTTTTGGATACCTAAGGTGGTCTCAATTAGTTCTTTCAGGATAAGAGATCCAAAGAAATAGAAGTTGTATAATTTTAGTTGTATAATTTTTAATGAATAGACCTGAAAGATTGTCTGGAGTGGTTTCCTAATCTACTGATCTATAACGTCTTTTTCTCTGGCCACGAAGTAGTTTCATAAAGCAAAGCTAAACTTACTCATTTTGATATTACGTTCTTTCTTTTTTTTGGTGCTGGAATATCCTTTCATTTATGAAATAATAATGATGATTTTTAAACAAAGTAAAAACCCTATGTCAGTCCTTTAAAATCTTTTTTGAACTTCTCCTGGTCTGTGACTTTTAAGTGTGGCATCCACTGATTGGCTCCAGTAGTTTTAAATGGCCTAGGAGTGAGTGGCCTAGGAGTTCTGTGGAGATACCTCAGGGCCTCCAGGAGACGAGAGGGTTATTTGGGCAGGACTCTAGATTCTCATTTTGTCTTCAATCAGAGCAGCCCCACTTTTTTTTCTATGTATACTGACCTTCCAGGGAAGCTTTTGAAGTAATGGTTCTACTTAAATACATACATACATACTTAATATTTTTAAATTACCCAAATAAATTAAGGTTAAAAACAAATAAATGACTTACCCATTGTCACTGGCTTCTTGGTGGTGGAACTTGTATATATACTCAGGCTCCTTGAATCCTCATTACCTGTTATTGTTATTGCCCCATGCTGTTTCTGCATGTTACTTTTTACCTCTTTTATTTTCTATTTTTTCCCTTAAAAACACAAACCTGATCTATGGTACATGGGCTAACAACTATTCATAGAAAATTACTAATAGCAAATACATTGGGTAAGGAGAGGACTCCGAACTGAGATTTAGAAAGCAGGCTATGTCTTTCTTTACATTGCTGGGTGACCCCTGACGTGTTATTTCCCTTTCTGGACCTTTTCTCGTCATGTGTAAAATGAAGGACATATATGGCATAGTCATTTTTAATCATGTTTCAATTTTTGTGGTCCCATGTACTCTTGATCTGAGCTGAGATATGTAACAGAAAGTATGAATTGTACTCAACATAATTCCTAGTACAGATCCTCAGCCATTCTCAACGTTTGTGGATAACTCCTGTCCTCATATTTTACTATAGGCTTATCTGCTGCAGGATTCTCTCTCCTTATAGAGCTACAAATAGACATTAATAAATATTGGTTAATGGTCATTCCCAACTTTTCTAGGTCTTAATAAGCCTTTGCATTTATTCCTTTTTGGCAGTGCTTTATTGACTAACACCAAATTAACATTTTTCATTTTGGGGGGAAATCCTTCCTCATTCCATGTGTTTCATATAACCCTTCCAACAGCCCCTCCCTTTTTTCTTTTTTGGCATTCCATGATTTTGAGATTTTACTAGTCTCTTTGTTCTGAATATGGTTAGGATTTCAAGGGCTCTAGAGGATCAGTTTA